TTTTTTTTTTTTTGAGTGGGAGTCTCACTCCCTCGTCCAGGCTGGAATGCAGCGGCACACTCACAGCTACCGCAGCCTTGACATACTGGGCTCAGGCAATCCTTCCACCTCAGCCTTCCAATTAGCTGGAACCACAGGCGTGCACTACGACGCCCAGCTTATTTTTTGATTTATTGTAGAAGTGAAGTCTCACCAAGTTACTCAGGCTGGTCTCAAAACCCTGAGCTCAGGTAATCTTCTCACCTCAGCTTCCCAAAGTGCTGGGACTACAGGCTTGAGCCACCATGCCCGGCCATGCTCAGTGTTATTATATTATCAGTTTAAATCACTACTGGGATTCCATTGTATGGATGTAGCATAATTTGCTTAGTCTTATTGATGGATATTAAGGTTATTTTGCTGTTAGAAACCACATGGAAGCCGGACTCCGTGGCTCCGCCTGTAATCCCGCGCCTTTGGGAGGTTGAGGTGAGTGGATTGCCTGAGCCCATGGATTTGAGACCCGCCTGGGCAGCGAAACCTCATCTCTACAATAAATCAAAAAATCAGCCAGGCGTGGTAGCGCACGCCTGTAATTCCAGCTACTCGGAAGACTGAGGTGGAAGGATTGCTGGAACCTAGCAGGTGAGGCTGTGGTGGCCGGGCGTGGCCACTGCACTCCAGTCTGGGCGACTGAGTGAGACTCCAACTCAAAAAAAAAAAAGAATCCACATGGAGATGAACATGCTAGTTGACGTGTTTTTGCCTTTGTATGATTATTTCCCTTAGTGTTGGTACTAGAAGTGGGATCTCTGGGTCAGAGCATACATACGTAGAACATACTGGTTTAGCCGGGCGTGGTAGCGCGCGCCTGTAATTCCAGCTACTTGGAAGGCTGAGGCGGAAGGATTGCTGGAACCCAGCAGGTCAAGGCTGTGGTGGCTTGGAGTGTGCCACTGCACTCTGGTCTGGGCGACAGAGTGAGACTCCAACTTAAAAAAAAAAAAAAGAAAAAGAAAAATCTAAAAAAGAACATACTGGTACATTCTCTTAAACTACTATCCAGAAAGGTATTTTCAGGGCTCCTAGCACTCCACATTTTCACCAGCATGGGATCTTGACAGTAATTATTTATTAATTTGATAGGTAAAAGATGAGTATCCCTGATACCTCTTTTTTTTGAGTTGGAGTCTTACTCTGTTGCCCAGGCTGGAGTGCAGTGGCACGCTCACCACCACCATAGCCTTGATCTGCTGGGCTTAGCCGTTCCTTCTGACTCAGCCTTCCAAGTAGCTGGAACTACAGGCACATACACTACTACAACTGGCTAATTTTTTGATTTTATTGTAGAGACGAGGTCTTGCCAAGTTGCCCAGACTGGTCTTGAACCCCCGGGCTCAGGTAGTCCTCTTATCTCTGCCAAAGTACTGGGATTACAGGTGTGAGCCACTGAACCCAGCCCTGATATCTCTTGATGCATTTTCTTTGGTTATTATTGAGGTTGTTGTCATCATGTACTCATTGTCTGGGCTTTCTTAGTTCTGGTATCTGTTTGCATTTCTCTATGGCTGTAGGATTTTGTGTGGATGAGAGCTCGGCTCCAGCTAGAAGTGGAGGAACAGCTCAAGAAGAAATGTTTTACTCTGCTTTGCTACCATGATCCCAGTTCAGGTGAGTGCTAGCTCTCGGTGTTCTCACGACTGGCCTTCAGGATTTCCCGGTCTGTTCTTTGAGAATAATGTATTTGAATATTGGATTCAAGTAGAAGCTTAAAAGCATCAGAGATGCTTATTTGTTTTCTTGCTGGTAGAATAAAAACAAGGACTTTTGTAAGGACTCCTTTTATTTAGCAAGATGCTAAGTGGAATTATCCTCCTGCTGCAGGGAAAGATGAGTTCTCAGGAGGAAAGAATGGTATTAGGAGGAAAGTTCAGGCCTGTAGGTGTTTCCCTTATCTTTGTTTCTATGACTTAAGAATTAAGGGGAGCAGGGCACAGTGGTTCAAGCCTGTAATTCCAGTACTTTGGGTGGCCAAGGTGAGAGGATTGTCTGAGGTCAGGGGTTCAAGACCAGCCTGAACAATTTGATAAGACCTCATCTCTACAATAAATCAAAAAAATAAGCTGGGTGTGGTAGCACTCGCCTATACTTCCAGCTACTTGGAAGGCTGAGGTGGAAGGATTACCAGAGGCCAGCAGATTGATACTGGAGTGGCCGTGAGCCTGCCACTGCTCTCCAGCCTGGGGGACGGAGTGAGACTCCAACTCAAAAAAAAAAAAAAAAGAAAAGAGAAAAGAAGGGCCTAATCTGGAATTAAAGATAAGAGTGAAGATAACTTAATTATGAAAACTGTTTAACATGACATCAGAAGAAAACCTAGAAGAACGCAGATTTTTTTTTTGGTAGAGACGGAGTCCAACTATGTTGCCCAGGCTAGTATCAAGCTCCTGACCTCAACTGATCCTCCCACCTTGGGCCCTCTAAGCGCTGGGATTACGGAAGGTAGAACTTGTAGGGCTAGGATAAGGGCACTGAAAAATGGCCTTAGAGGGGCACAGCAATTAGGGTTTTCCTATCATTTCACTATCTCTGCTTAGATGCCGACAATGAAACCCTGAAGGCAGCAAAGGTGTGGAAACTGTCAGAAGTCCTGGTGGGGGAGAAGCAGCAGTGCCAGGATGCCAAGAACCAGCAGAAGGAGCAGATGGTGCTGCTGGAGAAAATGAGTGCCACCTACTCCCAGGTTTATCAGGCAGTGGGATAGCCTCCTCTTTCCTTTACCCGGACCCCAGGGGCACCTTTGGGGAAGCCAAGGATTTCTGATCTGCCCTCCTTTCTGCTGTCTTTATCTGTGCCCTCTTTCTTCCTCCTTCCTTTTGGGGTTCAGGTGCTTCTCCGCTGCCTCACCTTGCTGCAGAGGCTTCTTCGGGAGCACCGCCTAAAGACTCAGTCTGAGTTAGACCGCATCAACGCCAAGTACCTGGAAATCAAGTGCAGTGCCATGATCCTTAAGCTGAGGTGAGCTGTGAACCCTAAGGATCTAAGGAATTCTGTCTCACACACCAGCTATCCACATTCCACTCTTTCCTCTCCACCATGCCTAGCATCTTCTGGGTATCCAGTAAATGTCACACAGCTGTATTATTAGCCTTCGGATTACCCAAGAGCTTTCAGTGTTCTTGAATCTTTTCTTTTATAGCCTTCTGAAACAGGCACTTCACTATGAGATCAAGGAATTGATCTCATAGTAAGTGATTCAGGGTGACCTTGTTTATTCTATCACTGCTTAGCCTATACCTTGACCATGGGCAGGAGCTGCTACTGTCAGAGATCTTTCATTTGACATTTTCTTCTTCCCTCTGTCAGGATGGAGGAGCTCACGATTTTATCTGACACTTACACTGCCAAGAAAGTGGAAGTTCATCGACTCATTAGGTGAGAACTCCCAAAAGCCTGGTACAGCTGTTCACAGGTGGTGCCCACACTCTCCAGACTTGCCCATTTAAAAATGTTCTCAGCCGGGCTCGGTGGCTCAGCCTGTAATCCCAGCACTTTGGGAGGCTGAGATGAGTGGATTGCCTGAGCCCGTGGGTTCGAGATCCGCCTGGGTGACTTGGCGAGATCTCATCTCTACAATAAATCAAAAAATCAGCTGGGCGTGGTAGCGCGTGCCTGTAGTTCCAGCTACTTGGAAGGCTGAGGTGGAAGGATCTCCAGAGCCCAGCAGGTCGAGGCTGCAGTGGCCAGGAGCGGCCACGGCACTCCAGTCTGGGTGACAGAGTGAGATTCCAACTCATAAAAAAAATAAATAAATAAAAATTTTTTTTTTAAATCTCATTTTTGTCTACTTTCTGAGGAATAGCAACCTTATGTTGTACCTTCTCTGCCCGGGCTCTTAGGGACCGTTTGGAGGGAGCCATTCTCCAACAAGAGCAGGACTTGGAGAAGTCAAGACAGGTCCTGAACAACTATGAGGTCCTTGGGGAGGAGTTTGATGGGCTGGTGAAAGAGTACACCAAACTCAAGCAGGCAACTGAGAACAAACGCTGGGCCCTCCAGGAATTCAACAAGGCCTACCACTGAGCACTGGTAGGGCCAGGAAGAATGACTTCTGCACAGCCTTTGCCTTCTCCTCCTCCTCCTCCTCCTCCTCTTCCTGCTAACAGGACCACCTTCACCTGAGACTGCCTGCACTACAAGGGAGTGTGGGGATACCTGTTTGAAACACTGCAGTCATTAAGGCACTCTTTTGCGGTTCTCTTTCTTTTATACACTGGACCTCTTCTGGAAAATCTAGTAAGCAGATTTGTGTAATTTTATGCGTAGCTCTTTGTCAGTGTCAGCCCTGTGTTGTATTTGATTATCTCCTGAATAAAGTAATGATATAATGTCTAAGACTTTAGTTATTTTTCTTTTTTTTTTTTTGAGTTGGAATCTCACTCTGTCGCCCAGACTGGAGTGCAGTGGCCGCTCCCGACCACCGCAGCCTCGACCTGCTGGGCTCCAGCGATCCTTCCATCTCAGCCTTCCAAGTAGCTGGAACTACAGGCGCTACCATGCCCGCCTAATTTTTTGATGTATTGTAGAGATGAGGTCTCACCTGCCCAGGTGGGTCTCAAACCCACGGACTCAGGCAATCCACTCACCTCAGCCTCCCAAAGGTGCGGGATTCCAGTCTGAGCGAAAGAGTGAGACTCCAACTCAAAAAAAAAAAAAGACTTAGAGGCTTCATTCTGGGAGAGCAGAAGTGGATTAAATCTGGGATTGCTCTTGAAGAACTATAATCTCCAGAGGAGTCCTAGGTGCTTAGGCAGGTAGAGAGCTGTTTTGTCACTGTTGCTATCGGTGAGGCAGTTATAACAAGGCAGCTTAGTTATGGAAAGGACACAAGCTACTTGTGTTCCTGGTTCCCCCTGGTGTGATTTGAGGGCGACATTTCTCTCCAAAAGCAGAGGATGAGAGATCACCTAAGGAATCAAGTTCAGTGGTCTCGGTTGGCTGGTATTGAAATCTAGGCCTGAGATCAGAAACAGAAGGCCTCTATCTTAATTTAGAAGAGGCACCTTAGCTAAAGTGGCCTAAACTCAAATGATGGTCTAGATTCATTTATAGGAAGAATTAAGATCTTTGACTCAACTTTAAATTTTTCTGTAGATGGCTGCTTACTGCCTGCTATGGTTTGAATGTCTACTCCAAAACTCATGTTAAAACTGAATCCCAGCTGAATGCGGTGATGCTCACGCCTGTAATTCCAGCACTTTGGGAGGCCGAGGTGGGAGAATCACCTGAAGCCAGGAGTTCAAGACCAGACTGAGCATCATAGCAAGACCCCCATCTCTTATTTTTTTTTTTTTTGAGTTTGAGTCTCACTCTGTCACTCTGGCTGGAATGCAGTGACACACTCACGGATACTGCAGCCTCGATCAGCTGGGCTCAGATGATCCTTCTGCCTCATTCTTCTTTTTTATTTTATTTTATTTTATTTTACTTTATTTTATTTTTATTTATTTTTTTGAGTTGGAGTCTCACTCTGTCGCCCAGACTGGAGTGCAGTGGCCGCTCCCAGCCACCGCAGCCTCGATCAGCTGGGCTCCGGCGATCCTTCCGCCTCAGCCTTCCGAGTAGCTGGAACTACAGGCGCGCGATACCACGCCCCGCTAGTTTTTTGGTTTATTGTAGAGATGAGGTCTCACCAAGTTGCCCAGGCGAGTCTCGAACCCGTGGGCTCAGACAGTCCACTCACCACTCACCTCAGCCTCCCAAAGGCGTGGGATTACACTGAGCCACCGAGCCCGGCTTTGCCTCAGCCTTCTAAGTAGCTGGAACTAGAAGCGTGCGCCATCATTCCTGGCTAATTTTTAAATTTATTGTAGAGATGAGGTCTCACCAAGTTGCCCAGACTGGTCTCGAACTCATGGGCTCAGGCAGTCCTCTCACCTCAGCCTCCCAAAGTGCTGGGATTATAGGCGTGAGTACCACGCCTAGCCAAGACTCCATCTCTTAAAAAAAAAATTCCCAGACTCAGTGGCTCATGCCTATAATCCCAGCATTTTGGGAAGCAGAGGTAAGTGGATTGCCTGAGCCCAGGGATTTGAGACCAGCTTGGGCAGCTTGGAGAGACATTGTCTCTACAATAAATCAGAAAAATTAACTGGTCTGGTGACATGCACCTGTAGTCCCAGCTACCTGGGGGACTGAGGCAGGAGGATTGCTTGAGCCTGGGAGTTTGAAGCTACAGTGAGCTGTGATTGCATCACTACACTCTAGCCTAGGTGCCAGTGTGAGACTCTCTCTCTTTTTGTTCTTTTTTTTTAAAATTTATTTTATTTTAAGCCAGGCTCGGTAGCTCAGCCTGTAATCCCGCGCCTTTGGGAGGCTGAGGTGAGTGGATTGCCTGAGCCCGCGGGTTCGAGACCCGCCTGGGCAGCGAGACCTCATCTCTACAATAAATCAAAAAATCAGCCGGGCTTGGTAGCGCGCACCTGTAATTCCGGCTACTCGGAAGGCTGAGGCGGAAGGATCGCCGGAGCACAGCAGGTTGAGGCTGTGGTGGCCGGGAGTGGCCACTGCACTTCAGTCTGGGCGACAGAGTGAGACTCCAACTCAAAAAAAATAAATAAATAAAAAATAAAATAAAAAAGAAGACTGAGGCAGAAGGATCATCTGAGCCCAGCTGGTCGAGGCTGCAGTAGCCGTGAGTATGTCACTGCATTCCAGCCAGGGTGACAGAGTGAGACACCAACTCAAAAAAAAAAAAAATGAGCCGGGCGTGGTAGCGTGTGCCTGTAGTTCCAGCTACTTGGAAGGCTGAGGCGGAAGGATTGCCAGAGCCCAGCAGGTGGAGGCTGCGGTGGATGGGAGCGGCCACTACACTCCAGTCTGGGCGACAGAGTGAGACTCCAACTCAAAAAAAATAAAAATAAAATTATTTTATTTTAAAGATGTGGGATACAATTCAGGATTAGATCTACAAGTGGTCATTGTACAGGTAAAGCTTGGGCCTCCCTTTGGTTCCCACTTTGCCTGGTTTGAGATCAGGTACCCTTATTAATGTTATGTGCCACCCCCTCCTTTTTTTTTTTTTAGTCAGAGTCTCACTCTGTTGCCCAGGCTGTAGTACAGTGGCACGCTCATGGCAACCATTGTCTTGATCTGCTGGGCTTAGGAGATCCTTTTGTCTTAGCTTTCCAAGTAGCTGGAACTACAGGTGCCAGCCACCATGCCCAGCTAATTTATTTATTTATTGTGGAGACAAGGTCTCACCAAATTGCCCAGGCTTGAGTAAGACCCTATCTCTAAAAAAAAACAAAACAAAAAACACCCCAGAGTTAATCCCCAGTGTTAATAGTATTGAGAGGCATGGCCTTTAAGAAGTATTGAATTATGAGGGCCCTGCCCTCATGAATGGATTAGTCCATTTATGGATTAATGGGTCATCATTGTTGTGGGACTGCTGACTTTATAAGAAGAGGACTAGCTGGGCTCGGTGGCTCAGCCTGTAATCCCGCGCCTTTTGGAGGCTGAGGTGAGTGGATTGCCTGAGCCTGCAGGTTCGAGACCCGCCTGGGTAACTTGGCGAGACCTCATCTCTACAATAAATCAAAAAAAAACACCTGTAGTTCCAGCTACTTGGAAGGTTGAGGCGGAAGGATCGCCAGAGCCCAGCAGGTCGAGGCTTCGGTGGCTGGGAGCGGCCACTGTACTGTAGTCTGGGCGACAGAGGGAGACACCAACTCAAAAAAAAGAAGAGGACTATAGAAGCTGGGTGTGGTGGCTCATGCCTGTAATTCTAGCACTTTGGGAGGGAGAGGTGAGAGGATTGCCTGAGCCCAGGGGTTTGAGACCAGGCCCCTGGGGTCAAGACTGCAGTAGCCATGAGTATGCAACTGTACTGCAGATGGGTGACAGAGTGAGACTCCAACTTTAAAAAAAAAGCAACTTGAGCCGGGCTCAGTGGCTCAGCCTGTAATCCCACGCCTTTGGGAGGCTGAAGTGAGTGTAATGCCTGAGCCTGCGGGTTCGAGACCTGCCTGGGCAATTTGGCAAGACCTCATCTCTACAATAAATCGAAAAAAAAAAAAAAAAAATTAGCCGGGCGTGGTAGCGCGTGCCTGTAGTTCCAGCTGCCTGGAAGGTTGAGGCAGAAGGATTGCCAGAGCCCAGCAGGTCGAGGCTGCGGTGGCCGGGAGCGGCCACTGCACTCTAGTCTGGGTGACAGTGAGACTCCAACTCAAAAAAGAAAAAAAAAAAAAAGCAACCATATGTACATAACTATTAGCTAATAACATTATTAGAGTCTGGCTGAATCATCATTTAACTATTCCCTTTATGATAGATATTAAGATTGTTTCCAAGCTGGGCTCGGTGGCTCAGCCTGTAATCCCACGCCTTTGGGAGGCTGAGGTGAGTGGAGTGCCTGAGTGCGCTGGTTCAAGACCCGCCTGGGCAGCGAGACCTCATCTCTACAATAAATCAAAAAATCAGCCGGGCATGATAGCACATGCCAGTAATTCCGGCTACTGGGAAGGCTGAGGCAGAAGGATCGCCGGAGCCCAGCAGGTCGAGGCTGCGGTGGCTGGGAGTGGCCACTGCACTCCAGCCTGGGTGACAGTGAGACTCCAACTCAAAAAAAAAAAAAGATTGTTTCCAATTTTCCCTATTACAAGAATGCTTCTTTGAATATCATTGCACATATATCTTGCTTTCTGCTGGTATTATAGTAAATCAGTATATTAATTCAGTATATTAGTTATTTCATGGAAAAATAAATTAATTACTGACGTATGACTGTAGTTTGGTAGAAAAAGTCTTTAAAAACAGTTCCAGCCAGGCTCAGTGGCTCAGCCTGTAATGTCGTGCATTTGGGAGGCTGAGGTGAGTGGATTGCCTGAGCCTGCGGGTTCGAGACCCGCCTGGGCAGCGAGACCTCATCTCTACAATAAATCAAAAAATCAGCCGGGCGTGGTAGTGCATGCCTGTAATTCCGGCTACTTGGAAGGCTGAGGCGGAAGGATCGCTGGAGCCCAGCCTGGCCACCGCACTCCAGTCTGGATGACAGAGTGAGACTCCAACTCAAAACAAAAAAAAACGGTTGCAAGCTGGGCTCGGTGGCTCAGCCTGTAATCCTGCACCTTGGGAGGCTGAAGTGAGTGGATTGCCTGAGCCTGCGGGTTCGAGACCCACCTGGGTGACTTGGCGAGACCTCATCTCTACAATAAATCAAAAACTAGCCGGGCGTGGTAGGGCGCGCCTGTAGTTCCAGCTACTTGGAAGGCTGAGACGGAAGGATCACCGGAGCCCAGCAGGTTGAGGCTGCGGTGGCTGGGAGCGGCCACTGCACTCCAGTCTGGGCGACGGAGTGAAACTCCAACTCAAAAAAAAAAAAAAAAAAAGAA